ATACAAAGTGCCTTTTGTTAAATTAATCATCACTCCTAGTTAATTTACATCCCATTTAATGTGAGAAATAAGCCTTTTATTAAAGTGGCTCATAAGAAATTCTTCATGAACGTGTGGAATGCAGATCGCAACTAACTGCGACAGTATTGATTAGGTCAAGCAGCTTAACAGCGATTGCTTACTATTCAACGTTGCGGTAGATGCACCCATTTGCACACACACAGTGCTCATATTTTCAGTGAACGCTCTCCCACACCCCCCTTTTTGTTTCCTCCATACCATGGGGGGGGGGGGGGGGGGGGGGGGGGAGGGGGGATGGGAAGGGATTCTGACAGTGAATATTGTTAAGATTTGCTTATTTATATTTATTTATATCAAATGCCAGATATTTTGTTGGTTATCATTAGCCCTTTAGTTGACTTCAGGATTCACAGAGGGAAGAAACATCAAAATAACAGAAAGTTGAGGGGTGGGGAACAGAAGAGTGATTCACAGACGAAGGTGGATAAGGTGGAAAAAGATGAAGTGAGTACTGTGGAAGTAGTCGAATATGACATAGAATGAGGTCATGGCAGTTTGAAGTCAGAAGTCAACTGCCGGTTTATAGACTTTTTTGCCGTTTGGGTATACGTTTCCCAGGGTGCACCATATGGAGGTTAGTCTATCGCACACCCCTGATTATTTATATGAAATTCACTACAAGTTCTGTTTTTACCAATAGAAACTTTCGTTCGGCTTTGAAGCCAATCGCTTTTAACACATTTAACCTTGAAATATATTTAAATAATAGTTGTAAAGTTACAAAAGAGACTGACAAATCAAATTGGCATAAAGTTTATCTTTCTGCCTAAATTTTTAAATTCAGTTGTTATGATAAAACAGATTGAAATAATTATATCCATACTAATAAGTTTACGCTTTTCAAAAGGTTACTTAGACGCCTGAATGATCTTTTCCAGAGAACACTTTTATGAAAAATTATAAACGTTATGTTTTCTTGCTAAATGTAAAAGTACCAATTTTTCTCTAGAAAGCACAAAAAAATATTTACAACTGTTCACCCTTGGAATCATCTCAACACGTGATTAAAGAAAGAGCTGAGTGCCTTTTAATTCGCGGGTTTAGTCCACTGTTTCATATTCGGTTTAGATTACATTTCTTTTTTCCCCGAGTAACTTCACTTTAGCCAGTATTTTACTTCAAGTGATCGGTTGATAGTAACTTTAATTAACAGGAATAGCGCGAATTCTTTAAACAACATACGCATAGAATGGAAAATTGAGATAAGAAGAACTTTGCCATAGCGCAGCAACGTGTTTCAGAAACCCCCAAAGTGGTTAGAAAGACAGAATTCAATGACAAAGCGTTAATATCGAGTACCAGAAGAGGATGTGGAGAGGTCGAAGTCTAATTTGGACCAGAAGAAGTGCAGAAAAAATCGCCTGTTGGAGTGTTCAGAAACACGGAGGGGGTAAACTTTAGTGGAAATGGAAATAGTACTTATGAAATCACAATTGTTGACAAGCTACCCAGGCGGTGTTACACAAGGCGAAGTATAAAAGGAGCAGGTGCAAACACAATTGGATTTACATAAAACTGAATTTGAATAAAGGACATTTGAAACGCATAGAATAGAAGAAGAGGTAAGAGGTACTGACCTTATGTCATTACGCTTAAAACACGGAAGAAGAAAGGTTTAGTTTTGTTTTGCATTTTATCGACTTATTTTAAAAGAACCTCATGTTTGTGCCTTTCATGTCAAGTCATATTGGGAAAAATAAGATTTGAATAGAAGATTCGTGATTTTTGTTACGATTAACAGTTAACCCACTGTGTTATGTTATGTTACAGATCGTATGGAGAGAAAAGCAGAGACGAAGCAAGGCAAGCCTTATTTATTTATTTATAACAAATGGCAGGCGTTTTGATAGTTATCATTATCCACTTAGCTGACTTCGGGTTTCACAGAGAGGAGGAGGAACATCAAATTGACAAAAAGTGGAAAGGGGGGGACAGAATAATGATTCACAGATGTAACAGAAACAGACAGACAGACAAAAAGGCGGAGAAAAGGTAAGATGAGTACTGTAGAAGGGGTCGAATATGGCATACAGTGGGGTGATGGTAGTTTGAAGTCAGAAGTCAACTGCCGGTTAATAGACTTTTTTGCCGTATGAGTATACGTTGCCCAGGGTGCTTTCATGACCCGAAAGTATTTTTTTAAGACTGTAGTCGTATTGAACGACACTCCAATATGTTTGAATTTGACCTCTATTCGCATTGCATAAAATGAATGGTGATTAGCACTTTATATGAAGTCATTAAAACGCAACCTGCTTAATCATAAAATGACCGATTTAGGCCAAAACACAACTGATCCTAAGCTTTTTCGTCCAGTTTGTTTCCTTGGTAATGGATCTTTTTCCTATGTTTACTTGGTCAGATCCCACCATGAACACGATCGAGATGATTCGTATGCATTGAAGCGCTATTTCCTTCGGAAACCGGAAGTCCTTCTCTTCGCCCAGAAAGAGTACCGAGTTCTTGAGTTGTTAGCGTTGGATTTCAACAAATCCCCATTTCTTCCGACACTCTATTACAGTTTTACTATCGACGTTTCCCCAACTTTTGTGGTTGAATTTGAAACGGACATTACTCTTAGTGAAATTGTAACGGTGCGCGGTGGCATGCGAGTCGAGCGTGCTCGATTTTATCTAACCGAGGTAATTTGTGCTGTGAGGTACCTTCATGATAAAGAAATTGTGCACATGAAATTGAAACCCAATAATGTGCTTCTTACAAAATCTGGCCACATTAAATTGATAGACTTTGATCATTCCTATAATTTGTTTGAAAATCTTGGAAGACGTCCAACTTATATCGATTTTTCAGTAGATAATTACTTTGCTGCCCCCGAAGTCGTAGGCAAGGTGGCTATAACCAAGAAGGCGGATATTTGGTCACTTGGTGTTTTGATGGCATCTTTAATGGATAGAAGTATTCGCCGAGGAAAGAGGAAAGACGGCACGCATCTAGCGAAGGTGGGTTATTGGAGTATTAAGCGATTCTCAAAATTGAGGACAGATTTGAGGAATTTTTTCAAAGCTGTATTCACTCTCCCTTACAGTCGACGACCAAGTATAGAAGAAGTTCAAAGGCATGCCTTTTTCCAAAATGTGAATTGGGGAGCAGTTGAATCACTGGCCATCAAACCGCCATTCTCACCTCTGGAGCTGGAGTCCATGGCCTCTCGATTATGGCGAGGTCCTCACTACAACCAGTCCCTAGTCCTCGACTCCATCTATAATAGGTGCATGCCAAAAATGGCGAAGTGCAGAACTATTTCTACAAGGCATGATCCAGATTGCGATCCTGTTCGCATCGAACCTGTAACATCGAAATTTAGAAAAATTGGCTGCACATTCGACGATGTTACCAAGGCATTGAAGGAATTCAACTTCATACATCCTTATTTGAGCTATAAACGGACTTTACAAGAAGGAAAATTCACGGAAAGTTATATGGAAAGCACGTCGGTAGAAAATATGGACAAAGTAACATAAATTGTACGGCTTTAAAGAAGTTTTAAGCCATTTCTTACTCGTGGAGGAGTGCTATACATTCACTGATGATCTTGTTTGAACTTTATAAACTAGGCTGACTTTA